GTCGGTGGGCCAATAAGTGAGAGCGAGCTCAGCCACTCGCTCATTCTCTTCCTCCTCGCTCGCTCTCACTCATCCTCATCCTCTCCCTCTCCCTGGTGCTCTGAGCTAGGTCAGCCTATCGCCATCGGCGCCGCGGCCATTGCTGCCGGTAGAAGTTGAGGATGCCATCCTGGTATGACGAGGAGAGCTCGGACGAGGACATCAACATGGTTTCAATGGATCCTCAGCTCTTTGTAAGTGCATAATGGTGGAACAGAGTTAGGGTTAGGGTTAGTTCATCCAAATTGGAGATTCCAAGTTGATTTTGGTTTGATTCGAAGTTTCTTTTGCAGGAAACCCCTGACAGTGTGGTGGAACCATCTTTCTGTGGTTCTTACACCGAATCTGAGCCAACGTGCATGGTGCATCATCAGAGGCCGAAGAAGATGGTGGCTTTTGAAGGTGCTTTGACTGGGAGGCGTTTCCTGGGTTGTCCTATGCAGCAAGTATTAAATCTTGAATGCTAACTTGTTTTGCTGGTGGAGATGTGTGATGTGTTTTGCTGCTGGAGATGTGTGGTGTAGCATGTGGTGCAGAGATGTGTGATGTGCAGAGATGTGTGCTATAGTTTAGAACTGAAACTTGAAAGTGCCCTACATATGCAAGCTATATGTGAAAGTAGATCTTTAGTTAAGTGAATTCAATACATGACGGAACCTGAGAACACCTACATGCAGATATCTTTAGTGTACTGTGAACTGAATGTATTAGTTAGGTGTTTACTGAATATAGTTGTTAACTGAAAAAGAACAGAGTTAAATGAATTTATATCTACTGCTAAATATAGCTGTTAACTGAATTTATCTCTGATGCTAAGTCAGGTGCTGTGTGCTTACTATGAAAGAATTATGTTTGCACAATTCAGGGAGCATATTGATGTAAACAAAGAGTTTCCGTTAAATGAAATGACTTTATGACTTTAGTTATCTGTACTAAGTTTGTTACTAAGTGCTTTGTGCTTAATTATAAATAATTGCTTTTGTAGGATGTAGGTGTGAACTGTGGGGTTGTGGAGTGGGTGGATGGTCCTTGGCCAGAGATTCTACAAAGGTGCCTATCCAGGATTTGGGACATGTACCATGAGCAGAACTTGGGGAGGGTGAATGACAAACAAGCCCATGAGAAAGAGGTGGCCAAGCTATAGAAGGAAATTGATTTCCTGTCAAACAACTACAACCAGTTGGTGGAAGATGTATCCAAGCTATTTGACTATCAAGATGGCAAGATGTCTCATGACATGGACTATACCAGTCAGGCAATCAATGAACTAAATGAGAAGAAGAAACAACTTGAGGATCAGGCAAGGATTGAGTTAAGTATGGAAAAGCTGAAGCTTGCCAAGGAGCGAAGGTGCATTCTTCAAAGCCAAGCAGATATCACTCAGAACATGAGGAAGGCCATGAAGGAAGTGGAGGGGGACATGGACCTACTTAAGCACGAGAAGAAGAAATTGGAGTATCTGATTGCTGATCTGCTCAATGCTGGGCATGCCAGAAAAGATAAGCCGGAGAGGATCAGGGCAATTATGAATGAGTGAAGTGGTTGGTGTGTGGGTTAAGTAATTAGTAGGCCTATATATATAGCTGGCTTTGGAATGTCATGCATGTTAGGTGTATATTTTGGGAAAGTTTCATGTGCTTTCATAATGGTATGAGGGAGGGAGGTACTGTCAGGGCCGGGCCTACAGTGGTGCAAGAAGTGCGGCCCGCACAGGGCCCAGAAATGTGGGGGGGGGGGGCCCAAATTCTTACATATACCTAGTATTAAGAAAAACTTATGCGTTTTGGGCTGCTGGGCGCTGGAGTGGACTGGACTACTGGAGTCGAAGCGACGAGGGCATCGGAGAGTATCGAGCGAGCTACCAGCGCTGAACCGGAATCGGGGATCGATCTCCTCCAGTCCTCCTACTCGTCGATGTCTCGATCGCTACATCCTACAGGAAAGGTCCTTTGATGATCCAAGGTGTTCACTTCGCGTGTGTTGGAGTCTGACTACTCGTCCCTGGATCCGATTGATCCAAGGTGTGCTGGAGTCTGATCCCTCGGTCAAAGGTGTTCTGTCCTGGAGACTGGAGTCTGATCCCTCGCCCCTCGGTCCCTGGATCGATTGGATCACAGCACGACCGGCCGCTGCCGCCATTGACTTCCTTGCCTCCTCCGTCCTCTCTCAAATTTGGATTGATCGGTGACCGACTCTAGCCTCTTGCCAGGTGTTTAGCAAGTCCTTTTCGATTAACTTCGGTTTCTACTCATAATTCCTAATTTTTTAATTAATTAACTAATAACTATTGGCAGGGATCTTCACTGGATCTTCACTTCGTTAGAGATTGCTTCTTACTTCTCGGTTAAAGATCACAGGACCCAGAATTAGGTGAGTTAGACGGTTCGTCTAAATGGAAAACATTGATGCATGATATCCAATTGATATATGCTACCGTGTAACTTTAATGTTATTTTATTCATCTTCTTTATCTTCTTATATAAGACATTATATTATATACATACAATTTTTTCTGCGATATATATAGTTGCTTGTTAATTCATTTTTTTTTGTAACATAGGGCCCCATATTTTTAGTTTCGCACAGGGCCCCGGATTTTGCTGGCCCGGCCCTGGGTACTGTTATGGTTTAAGAACTAGTTGGTTTTATCTATGATGTAATGACTGTTATGTTAAGACCTACTATGCTAAGTGAGTACTCATGCTAAGTTAAGTACTCCAACTATGATGTACAACCGCCGTTCCGACAGCGGACGGGCCGTTAACGGCCGTCAACGCGCGGCGGCCGTCCGTTCGCCAGCGTGGCAACTGATTCGCGGGCCCAACCGGTCAGATTCGGGGTTAGCGCGGGCGAAGCGAGCGCTTTCGCGACTTGGTAGCTTTTTGCCACGGTTTAGGACAAATTTGATAGTTTTTCGCACAAAAACGTAGAGTGGTAGTTTTTCGTCACGTTTCCATCAATTGTGGCAGTTTTTGGTTAAATACTCAAGAGAGGGAGTACTAAGATAGTACAGTACAAGGTAGAGTGGAGCACATTTTAATAGATTCGATAAGACTCTACGACAAAAGGTTGTGAATCTCGATGATGTGCACTGTTAATTTTTTTTATTATATTTAATAAATGAATAATACTCCCAGGCGGGATCACCATCTTGAAGTTCTAACAACTAGTGGATGGATTCCTCCATACGAGACTCTGTATCCTTCCCGGCCGTGAAGCTTTCCGGTCCAGATCCGCTGCATTCCATCCCCTCTGCCACTTGTCTTCCCTCTCCTGGAGCTGCAGGTTTGTGCGAGGTGGAGCTGCTCCAGGAGACGACCAACGGGACGGAAGAGATAAGCTGCCGGTCGCCAGCAAAGCCGCCGGCTGGTCGCTACCCTGCTCGGCCAGATCCGCTCCATACCCTTCCTTCATTCAGGTTCCTCATCTGCCATACAGGTTCGTCCCATACAAATCGTACCAACACCTTTGCCTTAACTACGAGCTTCACAAGTAGGAGTTTTCTAGCGTCATTGTTCGTTTTATTTCTCATTTGTATTTTTCGCGATTCGGGAAAGCTGGTAATGGTTTGTATGGAGTTGACCCTTTTCTTACAGATTTAGCCACTGTTTTCCACTGTCGTGCATCGACAATCAGTGCCTTATACACAAGTCAAAGTCTACATCGCTGTTTTATCTCTAATCTCTCATTTAGATGTGAACTAGTGCGAGTTATTGCATAGTGTACCCCAGAGGCCCAGAGCCCCAGGCTAGGTACAATGGGGGATGATCTTTGAATCCCCAAACACAAATCCAACTCCAAACGGTGATACTCCTGTAATCCACGAGCTCACCACCGTCTGCTCCCGCACACACCTTCCTCCGCCAAGCCAGGCTGTCTCCTGGTCAAGGATGAATGGTTCGGGCGGCGGCCGGGGAAGAGGAAGATTTTTTTTAAGTGGAATATATTAATATCGTGAAGGTATTAATTACACCCAACCTTTACAACAATAAGAAGTCACAACTGCACATTCAAAAAAAAGTCACAACGGCATCTAAAATGCACACAGCCCAAAAAAAATAGTTTTAGCCTCGTCACAGTGATCAACTCCTCTCAGCAGCAGCACACAAAACCAGCACCAAAGACGTCATCCTAAAAAATATAAAAGGTCTTCAAAAGTGACGCCTTCAAGAAGGAAACATAATAGAGGAGGACTGATCATGCAGATCGTTGCCGTGATGCGACAAGAGCATAATTAAGGACCACCACCACACCACTGCCTCCACCACACCGACGCCATCTCCGCCATGATGGAGGACACCGGCTATCGTTGCTACAGCCTGCGACTCCAGTTGCCAGATCTGACAGAATCAGCACGAGCCGCCCCGGGATCACGCGCTGCCGGCCCGCCCCGCCACACAGCCGCCATCGCGTCCACGCGCCGCACATGTCGGCCAACAGGTTGTGCATCGGATCCCTTCGGCATTTTTACTGCGCTCTCATTATTCCATGGGAGGTGCCAGGGGCGAGGCGAAGGTCTAAAAAGTTTCAGTTTTTTTGGATTCTTTTTTTACTTTTTGAATGGCAACTTTAGTTGTAAAAAATGTCAGGACGGGATTGCTTCGTGTCATGCGTGTGGCACTTATCATTTCGGTTCTTTTTTTCCCTTTCATGTTTTGGACTCCCTCCATTCCCTTGAATAAAGTGCCCACATTCTCTCAAATCCAACTTTGACTGTAAATTACAGCAATAATATATATTTTGGTGACTTAAAAGTTATAACATTGAAAAGTTCTTTCGGATATGATTCCGATGGTATTACTTTGATCGCATATAACCTACATTTGGTTGGTCTAAGTTTTGGTCAAAGTTGATTTTTAAAATGTCGTGCGCACCTTACTCATTGGAATGGAGGGAATACAAGGTATGCTCTCTGCTAATCATCTGAAACATTGTCTGTGTCACTAGAGATATAAGATACCATGGCATTAGCGAACAAGTTTGAACGGGCGAGTGCAACGGCAAGGAAGTTTACACTCGAGTATTTGGAACAAATTACAAATAATTTTTCTGAGGAGCACGTCATTGGTCGTGGTGCTTATGGAGTAGTTTACAAGGTATACTCATATGCTCATTACTTAGATCTTGTAATATCAAATGATACATAGCTGCAAGGACTAATGTATTTTTGTAACAGGGAGTACTGGAAAACGGTGAAGTGATTGCTCTCAAAAAGCTCTGTTGGAGGCCGGATACTAACGACACGGAATTTAGCACTGAGTTTAATAACCTTATGCGGGTCCAACATCCAAATATTACTCGGTTGGTTGGCTACTGCTATCACCAAGGACATGAACTCATTGAGCACAAAGGTGAATATATTTTTCCCCATGTGGAAGAAAGAGTTCTCTGCTTCGAATACTTGAAGGGTGGAAGCCTTGACAAGAAAATTTCTGGTATGGTGCTACTCCACTCAGACTGTTATTTTGCATGTAAAGAAAAATAATCCATGATATTTTCTAAAAAGAAATGATCCATGAAAAATGTACCTCTTAGATATCCCTTAATCTACGTCTTGGTAATACACCTGTTTACTTCCGCAGATGAATCATGCGGACTTGATTGGCACACACGTTTCAAAATTATTAACGGAGTTTCCCTGGGTTTGCATTATCTTCATAATGGCTCCAAAGATTCTATTTACCATCTTGACTTGAAGCCTGCTAATATACTGCTGGACAAGAACATGGTTCCGAAAATTGGAGATTTTGGCTTGTCAAGACTCTTCCCTTCAGCACAAACCATTATCACAAACAAAAATATTGGAACACGGTAAGTGGATACCTCATGATAAATAATCAACTTCTGTGTTTTTAACTATAGAAATAATTATATTGCATATATACCATGCAGTGGATACATGCCACCAGAATACATTGACAAAGGTGAAATTACATCAAAGCATGATGTATTCAGTCTGGGTGTCATAATCATACCGATAATGGCAGGAGATGAGGGTTACTTCAAAAGCGCACATATGTCTTCACAGGAATTTCTTGAGCTTGTATGGAAGATATCTTTGTATCATGAACAAAAATACTTTTTCACAAATATAATAATCATGTTGTGCCTTACTTTACGTCCTACCTTTTGCCATTGTGTTCCAACATTGCAGGTACATGAAAACTGGAGAAAACGGCTGCAGGCAACAATGTTGTCACATACATCAGATCAAATTGAGACATGCATCAAAATAGCATTAAGGTGTGTGGAGGTTGATCGTAATAAAAGGCCTACCATTGCCGAGATTGTTAATGAACTAAACAAGGTTGGTACCAGAGAAGAGTTTACCTAGTTTAGTGAGTTGTAAGCCAAGATTTACATGGCATAACCAAACGTCATCCTCTAATTAACCACTAACTTCCTACTCATGATAAATGTTAACCCTTTTAATTTCATTTCGCCTTTGAAGTTCTTGTTTACCTACTCCTTGAAGTTCAGCCACTATAAATTGTTGTTTCTCTTGTAGGGACTAATAAGCTGACAAGTAGCCAAAAGTTTGATAATTGCTCCATCTGCTTGTTAATAGATATGGTGGCTTAAACAGCGCACTACTTTTCATTTGAATATGTTAGTCCAACAATACAATCATTATATCAGGCATATATTTTTATGACAAATCTAGTGGTGTTATCTCCATGCTTACACTTGAACTATATTTAATATATAGTTCCTAGATATAAAGAAAAGTTTTGTAGGTCTCAACATTTCTTGAGAAAAAGGAAACCTCTC